ATGCGATGATATGGCGACGTCCTTGTCACTACAGGAGCTCGAGCTATCGTGAACAGGCAATTTAATGTAGGGAATGGGTACGGGTAGCACCACACCAGTTCACTACTCACGAATTTTCACGTATCGTGATTTCACGATACGTCCAGAGATAAGATCCAACACGCGATATCCTGTTGTAGATACAGGGTATTCAAGAATGAGCGCCTCCCGCGCCGCTATATCCTGCTTGCCCTTCCGCTTCTGCGCAGGAAAATAGTACGTAGCGACGCAGCCCCACACTTTCAAGCTCGACACATCTGGCTTCTGACCTTCGAACAGCTAGTATGGCGTGCGATTCCGAACGGCTGTTGACGGCGAGATATTACGAATCGTCACTACAAACTTAAAACCTCGCCCCATAAACTTGTCGGAAGCCCAGCAGATACTAGCAAAGTACGAGTAGATCGTTATACCACACCATTCATCTTTTCAACCAGGCTGTTCTCTTCCGGCGTAAACGCATCTGTATACAGTGCCTAAATCCCATTTTCCTGAATAAACTTTTGCAACTCTCTGTTAGCAAACTCAATGCCTTCGTCATACCCAAAACACTTTACCCGCCCTCCGCTCTGCTACAAGGCCTTTAAGTTACCAACACCCTTACATTTGTGTTACAACACGAAGCCCCACAATACCGCGAATATTCGTCTTCAAGTAGCTGAAAACATCACATTTCCAGTCGCAGACCTCTCCATAGTAGCACACGTCCGTCATAAGCTTTTTGCAGCATACTATGGATCGACTGGGATGTACACTTTTGTAGGACATGCGCTGAGGCTTTGCGAGCTTGCAGATTAGGCAATCGACAGCCTTTCTCGACTGTCCAAGCGGTGATATTTCCATACCAGTCATGTGTTTGTATCGATATAGCTCTAACAATGCTACAGCATTGACGTGGCCAAATCAAAGATGCCATCGGAGCAATGCGTCACCAGTAGCTCCAGCAGTAGACGCAACGACTCGAGGTGGCGCACACAGACTGGGAGTCCGATAATAACCGCGACCCTTAGCAAATACAATAGCTTTTGAGTCCTTCCACATCAGGCAGCGGGGTCCATTCTTTGGATAGCGAGACTCACAGCGCCAGTCTTCCTCCTCCAACATATTCACACAAATTAACGTGGCAACCAGGAGCATTAGGATCGCCAGGCAATGTACCTGCAGCATACCTTCAGTGTTCCATCCTGATATTCAGTTGATGCAAATGATATCTCCAACTCAGATACCAAATACTCTGTTGTAACCCCACCAGTCCACGACTCGTGTGGCGTATCCGTCTCCACATAATGTGAGTATCGCAACATAAGCGATCTATCAGCAGAGATATGCGTTATTGCAGCCATATCCAGAATCCATTCCATCGACCCAGGCGCCCCACCCCCGATGCCGTCGAAAAAAACAGTACTAGCTACAGCGCAGGTGCCCTTCGCACGTCCAATAATTCCTATTGGCGAAGGCTGGCGTGGACCACCCTTCTTGCTACCTTTCCCACTCGCTTTGTCTCCAGTGGGCCTGCCGCGTCCAATTTTTGTCTCGCCTTAGGTGTCATGCTTTGTGTCGAACTGCAATTTGCGGCATTGACATCGATAGTGACCATCTTTGTCACAGTAAAATCACTTCACCCGTTAGTACCAACAGCTCTATCAGCGGCTTCGCCTCCTCCATCATAATTTATTTATATTTGCCCCAGTTTAAGCTTTGTTTTGCTTCTCTTCGAAACCGAATTTAAGCTGATGCACACCACGACGACCGCGTTGAGTTGGCGTCACAACTGTTTGTGCCAAAATTTTCGCTGGGCTTTTGCATTTGCGCAATGTGCATGATCTTCTCACTCGCTTCCTCCTCGTCACGAATCATCTAGTCCATCTCCGTTTCACAGTTCAGTGTGTTTAACACTTGCTGAAGAGTTGAACTAGAGCCCTGGAACAAGAGAGAGAGAGAGAGAGACTCAGACTTTTCTATTTGGTCTTATAGACGACTAGATGTCTGGTATTGCCTAAGCCTGGTTAGCAACGCCGGTGCCTGTTGGTCCGGTGGCTGTACGAGGCTCACCCCAGGACTGCGATGCTCCCTTGGTATTGTTGTTAGTACCCGTAAGCATAACATCAATTGCGTTCCTTGCTCTTGAGATTCAGGACGTCGGCTTTCTCGCTTCCCCAGTGCTTGTAGTTGTCTCGTGGCTGTCGCCCAAAACGCCTGGCTACTTGCTTCCTCTGTGGTCTGATCTTGTTGGAAGACAACTCGGTTTCTCTGTATCCATAAGCTTGTGAGACAAATGCTACAGAGTATCTCCCATATTCTCAACCAGATGGCCGTAGTCTCCTTCGCCGCATCTGGAAATTGAAGCCACAATTGCTTCTGGGCGTGGTGTGATATCTGCGGTGCCTTGCGGCTGGCGCATTGCGTCTGAAACCTTTCAATATTCCCTGGTTGCCAGCATTCCCCTGTCCAATGCTGTAGGAGCTTGCTCCAGCATGCTTGTGCGCACGGACACTCCCAGAAGATATGTTCTATTGTCTCCTTTGTCCCTTGACATGCTTGTAGCTTTGGACAACTGTTGTCTTGTCGACGGCCTTCATGATACAAGTTAAGCTGCCGGACTGCTACACGATAACTCACCCATACCTGGTATTCAGTGAGTTGGTGTTTGTGGGACCATGCTTGCGTCGGCGTTTGCTGCATTGCTGCCTTTTGCCACCCGGTCGTTGCTACTATTTCTTGGAGGCGCTGTACGTGCCCTCGTAGTTGGCCAGTGTCTCCTCTGTACTTCTTGAAGAGTTGCATTTTCAACACTGCTAGTACATGTTTGTTTGCGACACTGGGTTTAACAGTCCATGGGAAACTGTAAATCCTTGGGTGCGCGAAGAAGACTAAACAACCAGTCTCTCCTAATCGTTTTAGCTCTCTCCATTCCTCCTGTGGCTGGGTCTCCGCTGGACTCGATGTTATTGGTTTCCATGTTATGCCATTGGGCATGCTCCAACGTGATCGTTGTTGTTTCGGCTTCTGTACCAGGAGCCCTCGACCCTCCTGCTCTTCCGTCCTCCAAGATATGCCAGATAAAGCCCTTCACGAGCGTGGGTGGATGCCGCAGTGTGAGTTTGTTCGTCACCTGGAGTACTGCCCCAACTGCGATCGATGGCGCACTAAGTAGGATAGCTAGACCCCACCAGCGCAGCTTTGCTTGTTGATTAGAGCCCTGAAACAATGATTCTGGAGAGCTGACGTATCTCAGCTCTGTGTGTGTTCTACACCCATGAGTATGCCATCCACAGTCAAGTCATTGTCAACATGCACGAATAATTAATTAGACAGCATACGACGGGTGTCATGAATCGCCTGCAATAATGAGTCCTACGCTGCTCACGGGTGTATGTGGCATGGAAAAACGATTTCATGACCCATAGATATTTGAAAACTCTCGCTTTGTATAGTGAGCTTCCAAATCTTCCCACATTTTATTTTCACTTGAGAGATCACGCATTTGCTCAGCATTGTCCACTTTGGCACCACGAAATATAACCTCTCTAACGAAATAATTCAACTGGTCATATTGCCGCTGATTAGCACGCGGTACTAGTGGACCGGTAATTGAGCCATCTACAAGCCCCCAAGCATTAAAGTGGTGCAAATATGTCATTATTTGCGCTCGATACAAATTGAAGCTGCCCTCCATCTAGGGCGGCATCTTTTTCACGTCCATTGACAAACGTGGTATCTCTTGTTGCTGCAACTCAGGGCTCACCCCCGCCACATGCACATCCACGTGCACATTCACCACCAGATGTGGCATCGCCTACCACATTGACACATCTGTTGGCGGTGACCGTCGTAGCCACGGAGCGGGCAGATGGTGGCTCCAGAACAGGGGTATTAGACATACTCGCTGTCGGGCCAGTGACTGGAATTGGCACTAACGTCGTCACAGCCATCATCAGTCGAATTCTTGGAGTCGACGGTGCACTTCCGAGTGACCTGCGATAGATGGAAAACGCAACATCGTTCACGTTTACGTAGGTAAAGGAAGAGCTTTTCCTTAAAGCTAATAACCCTAACAGCGTCTAAGCTACCTGATCAGTTTATCAGGTCTCCTGCAGAGGCCTCAAACGATGCAACAGTAGCTCGAACGCAGTGCTCGCCCCACTTAGCAACTTTCAGAATTGGATAGAGCTTCACCGCAGTGAGCCCAGAGAATGCTAGCTGTACTAAACCACATTCTGAGCTCTAAATGTACGGGGCGGGTGACTATTATCACCGAACGTCCACAGACTACTGGTTTCTGAGGGCGGCTTCTAACAACGCCTTGCCATGCCATGCCATGCCACGGTTGCAGCGTCGTGATGGAACGGCTGGCACTGCTTTGATAGGAATGCAATTTTCTTGAAGTGCCATTTCCTAATACATCGGAAATAAAACATATGGATAGTTTTCTTATCAGAAGGAAACACTTGAAAAGATGTAAAAGTAGAACGGCAAGCGCTCGCCAAGCACCATAACCGCGAGCAGCAGCGTCTCTAAGCGAGTCAAGACCGCGCGGGGGTCCACTGCTACTGCAGTAGCGTCGACTGCTACCATCAACTCGTCACAATCTCGTCTCCCTTCTCTACCACTATCAAGACCATCCACAGCAACATCGGAAGGCGTCGATCTGGTGGGATCCGGCTCTATTGGGACTGTTGTAGCGGGTCGTCCACGCTCACGCCAAAACTAGAGCAGATTAGACACTTGAAAGCCCATGATGCCGCCTGTATGGCCGTCCAATCAACAGTGGATGAAGAGTACACAGTCGAACCTAGTCAACGAAAGACGAATCACTGCTATATTCGTCTACTCAATATCCTCTTCTCCGATATGTGTGCAAGTCGATTTGCATCGTCGGATGATGCAGCTACTCGCAATCCGATCGATGCAAAAGAGGTCAACCAGAACACGCAGGTTTGGAGATATGTCACCGATTCGTTCTGCAACAACACCACAGCCTATAACGGACTTCTTGTGGTGAATAATTCACGCTTCGACGACATCGATCCATCCAACATCGTGCCGCACGAAACGCCACGTCTGTATGACATGTGGAAAAGGTGAATAGCAAATACGTGAAGGCATACTCTAAGTTTTACGTGTCCGGTCAAAACTCCAACGATTTTTACAATTTTTGGGAGGAGAACTTGGACGTCGTAAATCTGAGAGCGTGCATCGCTATCAAACCGGAGCTGGAAGAGTACGTTCGTGGATGAATGCGTGAGGTTGACGAAGTCGACTCGCTCGACCTGAAGGGCGATGGACTACGTGCAAGTCCAGCAAAATATCAAAGTGGCAAGACGGCTTGCTCAAGACTATCAACCATGTGATGGATATTGTAGTTAGCGATCAAACTGCCGACACAACAGCACAAACCGATCCGTCTACTGCTCGACCCGAAGATGAAAGCACTCTACTCGATCGGATTGACAAGCTGCACCGGCTCATCCAGCAAGTCAAGGAGCGCCAGGAAAAAGCTAATAGCGAAGGGCAAGTGGACAATACGCTGTCCAAAAGCCTTAAACTTTACCAACAACGCTTGGAGCACTATGAAACCCGACTAACAGCTCTGGACTGACTTTATTAGCAGTCTTGGGGCTGACCTGAGATAAGAAAACTAGTTCAATCTGGGATAAGTCAAGGAAAGTAATATTGCTTTTAAACTCTAATTAACCTCCTCCAGCGATTCGGTTGAACGTCGTGCACGATTGCGCTGTGGCTGAAGAACAGTACTCCTTTCCAGAACTCCGACGATTGCTTGACGAATCCACTCAGATGAGATGTGCGTTGCGGTGGTGACTTCCAAATCAGAGGAGTCGTACAAACGCCGATACCGAGAGCAATCTTGCGGGGCCACCGAGGCATCAGACGGCTGTTCTTCTGGAACTGCAGCCAGACCTTCAGCTAAGTCTTCGTCTTCCTCGACTTGATAGCTCGATTTTCTTGCAGGCGCCTGTTGATACACCAATTGTGTAGAATACACGCCGCTAAGATCGTACGCGGTACTCTTTTGAATGCAATTTCCAATGGTGCATTAAAAACTCGCCATTAGCAAACTAGTAGTCCAAAAGCCATCTCGATGCGGATTCGCAACTGGCTTTAGTAGAAATAAAAAACTGTCGTGATACGCTGTCGCAATACTTGGCCTTGGGAATGGTGTCAGGAACTTGTTGGTGTTCATATAAGCGTTGTCACCCACCACAAACCATTGGGAAGAGCATTTACAATAGGGAACAACTTCCATTTTAGAAATGCTACCGCATCACCGGTTCCAACTGGGCTTGAGCAAGCTACTGCAGTGAAGCTACTTAAGTAATCACAGCATGCGTGTACGTCCTCTGATAGTGACCGGAGAAGAACGATCTGACTCTTGTGACTTCTATCTTTTTCGGCACCCGAATTGGACACAGCCATCCGTCAATAGCCCTAATACAGCATTTCATCACTTTGGAGCTGCTGAGTGCCTTAAACTCCCTTGCAGCATGACGTTGAGCGGCCTCTGTTGTAGGGAATTGTAGCTGCAAATCTGGATGCGTGGTAATCGCTTCCACTACCTCGTGAATACAGTCTTAAAATGCCATGACACTAACCCCACTTATTGAGCGAATATCATGATAAGATCCTCCACTTAGCCAGCGTAACATCATGTGTAGCTTGTTGATATTTCTTATTGGCTCAATACCAGTTCGGTTCCGTGACTGGCGTTCGTCAACACGCAGGTACGGCTCGCGTTTGTTGGCAAGGGCCATGAAGGACGCTCTTGACATCTTGTAGCACTTCTGGAATTCTCCTTCCTCCTCTACACCTTTGTCCGTCCAAACAGAGAATAATTTCAAGCAAATTGGACAATTTGGTTTTTGTAGTACCAATTTTAACTTTAGCAAAAGTAATCAACAACCAAACAGAGAAAGATCTCATCCAAAGCGAGACAAGGAAAGGCGATGACTGGAATCATTCGTGAAGAGGTGGTGAGGGTGCGTTGGCACCAAAATGCGCGCGAAAGCCTCGCCTGAAGCAAACCATCGCCTGAAGCAGCTCACGTTTCAAACCACCTCTTCAGACGAATGCCCTTCCAACCACTCATCCGCAAGCACTTCCCCGCTGAGAAGCTCCGTGTCCTAGCTGCACATCGCGCGGGACGCGCTGACTGGCTTCAGGTGGCCGCCAATAACGGCATATCGCGCGCGGTGACATACCACACTGTATCCACAGGACGCGTAGAAGGCATATCGCGCGCGGTGGCATACCACACTATATCCACAGGACGCGTAGAAGACCTACCGCGCGGTGGAGCTCGTGGTAGCACTGTGAAGAAGACACCAAAAGCAAAGTCCAAGCTGGAGGAATGTTTTGACGACAATTGCATCTTCACCCTGGAAGCTATGCGCACGATGCTCTTTTTAGATACGAACGTGCGGGTCTCCACCTCAACGATCAGCCGCCACTTGCTTGGCATGCCGCTCACCGTCAAACAAACACGCATAGAGCCCATGTCATGCAACAACGAGATCAACAAGACCAAGCGGCAGAAGTTCGCAAAATCGCTGAAGGACCATCAAAAGAACGGTGACTGTATAATCTATTTTGATGAGACTAACTACAACGTTTACTGTACGCGAGGTCGAGGACGTGCACGGAGAGGTGAGCGTGCAACGCTCGTGATGCCGCCGTCCAAGGGTGCAAACCTGCAAGTCCAGTGCGCTGTAAGCTCGGCCATCGGTGTGGATCTCTACCGCCTAGAGAGGGTAAGCATCCGAATGAAGCAGAATGCCGCTTTCATTGAGGAAATCTACCGGACGGTAAAGGCATCCTCCGTGTTTCATGACAGCTTCGCTGGAAAGAAGGTCGTTATTGTCCTGGAGAATGCCCCCGCTCACCGCCAAACCGAAGAGCGCGTCGAAGCACGTGACGACCTCGTAGTCCTACGACTCGGACCCTACTCACCGATGTGCAACCCAATTGAGAGTTGCTTCTCCGTTTTAAAAGCTCGAATCAAGGTATACCTAGCCTTGTACCGCGAAGAGATCTGCGACCGGAGTAACATGGTGGAAGAAGACGGCACCCCAATAACGATCAAGGAGCGCACTATGCGCTTCTTAGAGAATGCTGCAGAATCGAGTATGAAGTATATAACACCTACGTTAGTGACGAAGATGGAGCTTCACACTCGCGATGCGGTGAACGCGGCCGAGGAGATGAAAGACATGGTCTACAGGAAGTAGCTCACTGAGTCGTCTCGTTTTGAATGAGATTATACTCTAATTCACTGGTAATTTTGATCCCGTAATCAGATATTTGTAATAGTCAAAAACATATTGTTCGCTTTGCTTGAAATTATTCTCTGTTTGGACGGGCAAAGATGTAGTAGGTGTACGCGAGACTTCTAGCTAAGTCGCTGGCGCTGGAGACATCGATGGCGTTTACCAGCAGGAATGACCAAGAGGGCCAGCAGCAGCAGTAGCATCCCGAGGACCGCTGTCGATATCGCCTCCGATGCCTCTAATCAATGAGCTGTTGGAAGACTTGGATAAAGTACTGTGGTACTGTTCTCTACATATGGCAAGTGGGTTTTGGATGGTGACTATGACGGATCGAGCTCGCGCAATATCCGCATTCATCACACCATTTGGACTGTTCAAATGGAGCCGGATGCCGTTTGGATTGAAGAATGCACCCCAGATCTATCAACGCCTGATCGATAATGCCCTCTACGAAATTACCCGAATACCGGAGCTCGAAGGGGATAGATCCGGGGAAGGACATACGGAAGTGGATCCATTTGAAGCAGGAGAGCCAGGTGATCTGGGAGCTCCATCCGTGTTAGGACGCAGATCCTATATTGGCGACATTCTAATCCCGGTGGAATCGTGGGATCAGCTGTGCGAAAGAGTGACATCCCTACTGGAGGCGAACGAATATTGCAGAATGTTGATCGTAAAATACGAGCGTGGCAGCGTGGTAATGTCGCGTTTGGTGGCATTGACGTTTTGCCGTGCGTGGTACTTCACCCCTACCCCTGGAAATCTCCGTCCAATCAGGATACTTTATTATGTGCCATGGCATGGCACTACTTGATTAGGAGCGACCCTGAGACTGCATTGCCACCAAGTGTCATAGAAATGAATGAAACTGGTCGCCCAGTCAGTGTAATTTTTTTGGAATTTCTAATTCTGACCAATCATATCAGACATGTAAGATTTGCTCCGTTGGATTAGCATTAAGATGGGCCAAAGTAGTACATATAGTTATTCTGTACTCAATATTAGTTTGTGTTGCTTGATGGCAGACTATTTCGTTTTTAATCTGCTTTCGCCAGTAGCAATTTGTTTTTATATTTCATTGGAATCTATTAAAGCTTAAAATTGCTGTGCTGCCTAACGTTAGAAAATAAAAAGAAGAAAAATGTAGTTTGTAAGCTAGACTGTTGTTTTTATCCAATGACCAGCTTCCAACCCTCGTCAGCTACACAATGACCTCTGCCGACTTCACTCTCCTGGATGACTCCGCTATGGACAACGACGTTTCCATCGTAGCCACAGTTGGCAGTGCTTCTCCTTCAGCCTCCCAGAACGCGCGGACTCTTTCTCTGCCGCCGATAAGCGGCCCTCCTCGTCGACCCGTGAGCCGAAGCCGATCTCCTTCCGAAATTTCGACAAGCTACCAGCCCCTAGACTGGGAATCAGAGGATGGTGTTCGCTTCGACGGCTCCCGATTGCGTCGCACCGTCAGCGATAACGTGACCAATGCCAGTGACTTTGGCAGCGTGAACAACGGATCTCGGAAAGTTTCGGGGTTACGGCCGCCTCGAAACCAAAGACACTCGAGTTCTCTTAATTACCACGGTAAGCGAGCCGGGAGTAATGAGAACCCCACCCGTAAGGTGACCACGCCCATGCCACGGCTGCTGCATGGGAAGAATATTCTTCACATGGTGGCTATTGGGTCCATCGAGTCGATCGCTAGAGACTCGAATTCCGTGGATTGGTCGACCAGTCTCGGGCCCGTGAATGAAGTTGAGGACGTGATACTGATGGACCCGCACTATGATCTTACATCAGCCAGGATGAATAAGTTATTCTCGCTGTTCAACCCTGGAGGTAAGGAGATTTAAGCTGAAGTGTAGAGTATTCTTTTTTTTCTAATCTATTTTTTTTAAGAGGATGGCATGGTGTCGTACGAAGGTTTTCGATGTGGGTTGGAGGCCATGGGTATCGCCTGTGGTGACGACGAGCAGTTCCAAGCGTTTATTGACAAGGTAGATGATGATAAAAGCGGTGGTATTACGTACGAGGAGTTCTTGTTCGCTATCCAGGAGATCAAACTCGCCCAACTTTTCAACGAGGATTTCCTGCGCAATATGCCGCCGGAATACACTCACATGAAGCGCAGACGAGTGGGGAATGCGCGACTGGGGTCGATCGAGTACTCTCCGGACCGTATTCGCAGCGTGTACCCCATCGACCAAGTGCAGAGATTCATCTACTCTACCAAGCCAGGGTGGGCGTCAGTGCGCTGGATCAACGTGGAAGGCATCGATCCTCTACTCATGAGACGGTTATCGGTACGATATCGTCTCCACCCGTTGGCTATTGAAGACACTCTGGATGCAGACGTAGAGAGACCGAAGTACGAAGAATACGACGAACATTCGTCGCTTATCGTACAGACAGTCCACGCCCGAGACTTGGCTATGGTCAAGGACTACCAGAGCATGTACCGTGCCTCACTTTATGTGCAGGACGACGATATTTCCCCCTTCGAGAGTATGACGAAGAAGGAGCTGGAGGATCGCTTGGAGCAACTTAACATCGGATGTGTCATGACGGCACCACAGCAACTTAGTCTGTACATTATGGAGGACGTTCTGATCAGTGTTGAAGAAAGGTCCAGTACACTCTGGGCCATGCTGAAGCAGCGATTGGATACTTCGTACTCCAAGGTGCGGCAACACGGCACAGCGTTCCTGGTGTACACAGTTGTGGACATTTGTGTGGACGAGTTGACGCCGATCACGCACACTTTTGGCTCGAAGTTGCTCATGCTCGAGCGCCTGCTCAGTCTCGATCCTCGACACTTCGACGTCGGTCGACTAGCGAGTTGTACGAAGCAGATTAAGGGGCTCCAAGTGCTCTGTAAGCCCATGAGCGAGCTCATCATCCAGCTGTCGGAGTTCGACGATTTCGAGGGAGAGACGCTGCGGTATCTGCGTGACGTGCTGGACCACGTCACCACAATCGAGGAAGACTGCGATCGCCATCTGGATCGATGTCGCAGCCTCATGGAAGATTTCCACAACACGCGAGCCGCGCAACAGAATGACGTGAGCTACATCTTGGCTCTAGTGGCGGCCATCTTTTTACCGGCGCAGTTTCTGACCGGGCTGTATGGCATGAACTTCACCAACATGCCCGAGCTGGAATACCACAACGGGTATTATGTCTGGTGGGCTGTCGTTCTCTTGATCGCGTTTGCTACGGTCGCGTTCTTCAAGTTCTACAAAAAGTGGCTGTAAGCTATTAATAATTTAAACTTGAAGTATCGAGAGAAGGAATTGTATGAATTCTCGATTTGAGCGATAGGTTAGCACTATAGTAGTAGTACTATTTAGCTTCTACGCAGGAGGGACTCCGTAGGAACTATGGGCAGCTCGGGCAAGATCAAGCCTATTACATCGTTACGCGCGGATTCTGGGCACACATGGCAGACTGCCTCAACGATAGCCTTACGTCGATAACGAGTCAATGTTTCACAGAAGAACACGAGTCCAGCGCGTGAATAGGGTGATAGAGCAACTTCTCTGCTACGAAGAAAAAGCTAAGCGTGGACGGGTCATGACGCAGCAAGAAATGTACGCGTCAGATTGCCCGCCAACACCGCACGCTCCAGTGCGTTATTAGTGTAAGCGAAGGACTTGGCACTCGGTGGATCCTCATCGCGATAATACTGTTCATGTAAATATTCCATCACTCGCACCCGACCGTTCTCCGCGGCTGATTCCATCGCCGTCACCGCCAGGGACGTGCACACTTCCCTCTCGGTTCGCAGAGGAAGCCTCAATGCATCTACTCGATCTCCTTCTGCTGCTTTCTTCACCGCAAATTTACGATTGCAAGCTACGTGCTCTTCGAGGAGAACCCAAGAAAGTAACAATGTCCCCGTGCGGCTGCCTCCGCATTGCAACCTTGACCTCGCACGCGCTGTATGCACTTTGAATGTCCTTAGCTAGCTCAAGGGGACTTTGCGCTGCTGCTTTTACCAAAGTTGACTCGAATGGATACCTCTCCATTTCACTACCGGTATCCAAAAAAAAATTACGTCCTCCCCACGTCATGAGAGGAGCAGCTCGTAGCTCATCCCAGTCGAATGCTGGATCGTTCGTTATGATCCAGTTTATGAGATCTTGGCGGCAGAACCACTCTAACCATTCCAGGATCTCATAGGTATCCCACTCTTGGTTGTTGAACACCCATTGCAGCACGTGTTGCCAAGTTGGCAATGCCAAGTTGGCATTGCCAGTAGGTCGTGCGAATCGACGATTTCACGAGTTGAGCAGGAGCGTGTCGTACCGTATTTGTGCATTACAGTACGTGCATCTATCCTTCTTTCATCGCCTTACCGACATCCCGAGGAAGTCTCACAAAACTGTGAATAAGACGCTGCATATGAGGAAGTCCCTGGATATAGGGAAGCACTTGAATACTCTGTAGCATTTTTTTATGTCGTGCGCTTCTGCCTGTGTTGTTCGTCTGAGAAAATTCCACGAGTCAATTTGTGTAAGAATTTGAGGCAATTCTGGTAAATTGACAATTTCAGTCATAATTTTTCATGGGATATTCGTCATGTTTTACCGAGTCTTGCATCGGAGGTGATCGTTCCGTGCTGCTTGGATAGCGCCCCTCCACCGAAAGCTTGACTTTCTCACTTCCTAGCAGGTTCAAGCTGGCAAGTGACCTTGCGAAATCATTTTTCATGGGGTGCACCGAATTTCGGTTTGAAAGTTACATATTACAGCCAACTTCAAGCTGTCCCTGGCCGGAAACATGCACATTGATGACTAACGGTAGCCTCGGAGTCGGACCGAGATCTGGCGCGTGGAGGTCCACCTGCGGTCCGCCGTGCGTATCGGTGTGAGATCACTTCATCAGTCTGATTTCGCGAAGTACATGAGGATGGGACCCAGCAACGTTTAGCAATTCAAGAGCTGTAATCCTAAATTAGGATTCCTAATGCAGGAGCGGGTGACAAATCAGCATCCCTTCACTGTCGACGAGCTCAAGGTCTTCAGACCCAAATCAGCGCTAGTTTCCTCACGTGCTAGTAGCACGGTGCTACGTGTATAGTACTGTACCGGTATGATTCAGTGAATCATGAACCTTTTTGTGGGGAGGCGAAGGGAGCTTCAATAAAAAAGAATGTTTGGACTCAGAGTGTACCTCTGTCTTCGAAGAGGCTTAACGCTGCCATAATCGACACGAACTGAATCGATTGGACTGCAAGAGTGTATACTTCGGAGTTTTCTTAAAAAAACGGAGACCAGCCTGGAGTCAATCAGGTATGTCCTCCACTGTCTTTTCCAATACACGACGACGCTTAAGCAAGTGTGGCGGTGTGTTTGAAGAGTCGATTACGAGAGGTGGTGAATTGTGTCGGTGTAGTTGCTGTCGCCTTGAACTTGGCGAACGAGGTGTTAACTTTTTCGCAACACGGAGGCCGACATAATGGAAATGACAGCAAGATTTGCTCAGTATAGTATTAGTACATACTACAGTACTAAAGAACGACATTTGCACACAGACACGCAGCGCTGCTTTGTTGGCACAATCCCAAGCAGCGTTTCGCTTCTAACAGAGATTGTCGAGGGCAAAGCGCCGACCAGCGCTCTCTGCTACGTCAAGACCTCCACGTGCACAAGCGGCCAGAAGAGGAGGTGAACAGAGATCACTGTCAGGCACAGTAATGACTAGCCTGACACTCGAAAAAGTGCGATCTTACTTCGGGGCCAAGGAAATCTCGCAGCGGTTTTGTGCTTGAACCAAAAACTTCAACCAAAATTGATTGACGCTGTTTTTGTGGTTTTGCTACCGCACCCGATTCAAGAACAGGGGAAAACTGTCTGCTACAACTAATTAAGCGAAATAAAAGCCGTTAATTCGTCAAAATGCGCCTCCGGTCGGTCGCTGCAGCGTGAGCGATTCTTTTTTTCTGCCAGCAACCCTTCGCGTGCTAAAGCCGAAGCAGATGATGGCGCCCCGCCATGTTGTGTCCTGCAATCGGTCGAAGTTTCGGCCGGCCATGTATGCAAAGCAGACATTGGGATCATTAATATCGCTACATGAATTCATACCGTTAACCCTCCTAAAGGACTGCCGAACGTTCGATAGATCAAGTGTCCTGAACTGTACGCCTGGGAAAGGGCACGAGGCCAAACTGAAGGAGCGTATCCGCCCCAGTTGAGCTTATTTCGCCTATAATACTGTATGCAGCTCGCAGCCAAGTCTTGACGACTTGAGGCCGCCAGTCAGGAAGCGGCGGTCAAGTCACGCGACGGCAAGCGGGAGACAGCTGACTGTACAGAGCCCGTGCGATTTACCGCCGAAGAATGACGCATCGCCGATGTGGACCACACTCCGAATCTTTTGAAAAGAAACGCTGTCCCCATCCCAGCACACTTGCCAACGTGCGCACCCGGCAACACTTGACCTACACTCGTGGTGGTCATTTTGCCACCGCTGCTTTTGAAGCCGCCGCGTTCACGCTACTGTACCGAAAGCGACGAAACGGCGACGCACCGCAGCCAGTCAGCCATGCAGCGGCACACGCTCAAGCGCACCATCTCAAAGTGTTCCATGGATGGGGATTCGCCCGGCTCCGTCGCCTGCAAAAAGTTCTCGTCGGGGCTTGACAACGAGCCTGTGCTGCTGCCGCGCGAAAACCGTGCGCCCAGCTTCCCGCCGCTCGACGAGCTGGAACCTGAGCTGTCTCCCGTGTGGGGCGACCCGGCTGCCTTCGTGCAACCGTCTAAAATTGGCTCGGACTTTGAGGCCGTCAACGTGGCAGCAGTTGCACCCATCGAGGCTCCGGTAGACAGCAGCGCCAGGGACGAGATCTCGGCCTCCGGGATGCTGACCGCGGTGCTCGACTACCTGCGCGACGTGGCGAACTACTGCAACCGCGCTGTTAACTTCAGTTTTGCACAGCTGCGCCAAATGCTGCAGTCCATCCCCTTTGCGGTGGGGCAAATGCAAAGTGTGGTCAAGGCAAGATTGGAGCTGTCGTGGCCGCTTGTGGCGGCCTTTGTGCAAAACGTCACGGGCTTTATCAGTGACGAGGACATCCGCGACGCATCGGTGGGCGAGCTCGCTGCCTTCTTGCAAACGTGCCAGACCGACTACCTCCTTGTTGCCGTTTCCGGCAACATTTGCGCCAACATGTTCGAATTTTTTCACGAAGTGCTGATTCAGTTCAAGCAATTTCTGATCAAACGGTGGCTGCAAATTGGCAAAATCAGTTTCCCTTGCGAGTTCGGCAAGAAATCGGATTCGCTTTTTCTCTGCATGGAGTGCCATCGCGAGCACATGTAGCAGTATCCCGGTAATGTCAGAGGGCGATGGACGAGCAAGTGTCAGGGAACACATGGGAGAGAGAGAGAGAGGCCAAGCAGTGCGCTGCCTCTTTTTTTTTTCTTTTCTCAGGTTTTAAGGGCTGCTCTGGTGGAGTTTCAAGAGTATCATGTACACAACGAATGATGCACGAGTGGCAACGTGGATGTGAATGGGGCTTTTAGTTAGGTAGTGTGATTCGGGCAGGCGGCAACTCAAGTTCCTCTTTTGCTAATATCATAACATAATTTATTCGATGACTGTGACGTTTGAGACTTGAGGTCGAGTTGCTCCGGTTGGAGTTGGAGATGCTTGACGGTAGAATTTCTTCTATTCGTTGTCCAAGAGCGTCACGACATGATACGAACGAGGAGGAGCGACACTGCAGTGGTAATCTAAGTCTCCCTAATGGCTCGTGGTGCAGTACACTGTAGATGCTGGATGTCTTTCTCGTCCACAGCTCCACGTATTTCAACGTGTCCGTCGATCCGATCCAGATACTCGGTGTTACGAGTTGCAGGTCGTTCACAAACTCGAATCTAACGTATGTCTGTCCATTCTAGATCGATGATATCTTGTCTATCTCCGATACAATCCGTCCACGACTCGCGCGCGCATGGATCATGACGTCGTCTTGCGCGACGCTGCTTGGTGAAAACCTTCCAGTTCTTCGCGAAAAAGTTACCACTTTCGAGAAATATCGTCGTGCCTATCGTCACGTGGCAACAGCCCTGCCAGTCCCCCCAGTATGCAATGCAATGGCGCAAGTTGAGCATTTGCGCCTCGAGCGCATCCCCATACAGGCTGGATTCCAGCCGCGTTGTCGTTGATCTTGCGTGTCCGTTGAAAAGCATCGACATAGTGACAATCACTCCTGTACCCACTTCAACGTCGAAAAGTATCCGATTGTGGCTCACTAGCCGGTTTTGGCTCATTGCAGATACTGCGGCATGGCTGATCCCGTGCTGACGATGTACGCGCGATACTCGCGTCCGATGTACGACTGCGGAATGCTAGCCACTTGAAGCTCAAGCGAACTCGGTGCAGAGGGCGGTGCACCGCCGTGTGGGCTTGTGGACGGGTCTCTGTTGCTCGCAGTCGCAGTGCCTGGAGCAGCAGCAACAGTAGCGTGAGAACGCGGAGAGGGAGCTGCCGATGGCAACTGAGGCTTGTGTTGGCGTTGCGTCGGACTGCCATGACAATGATTATCTCCCGCGTCGCAATTTGCAGGTGCACCTAGAGCTGGGAACTTGTCGATGATGGTTTGTTGCTCGATCTGATGCAACGTCCACCATTCGGACTGCGGAACGTACCAAGAGCCGTAATGAACTTTCGGAGGGGAAGCTGGTGGTGACGTTGGCGTCGGAGTACGCAGTTTTACGTGTCGACGACTTGCCATACTGGACGCAGTTTTAGGAGGTTGGTGTGGACTCGTAGATCGGTCGTCTTTGCTGCGTCGTCGATCAGTTATCACACTTGAGCGTGACCGTTGCTGGTGCGGTGTGTGTGACCTGCGACCGAGTATAATATGCTGTGAGGATCTCAGTCGGTGTGGTGGCGAGGGGGTCAACGCAAGTCCATGCAGCCGCTCGGGGATGTCCACGGCAGACTTTGCACCAGTCGATTTCTGCCAGAAGATTCGCGGTCCTTCGTCCTGCTGATTGAGTTGCTGCAGTTTACGACGTTGTCGTCGCCTTCGCTCGGGGTCGTACCCTGTTCTGTCGGTTTGACTGCCGTTTAGATCATCGAGACTATCGTCATCGTCAGTATCGTCTGCTAGACTACCGAGCGACCATAACGCCGTAAATTTGCGCTGTCTTGGCTCCGCTTTATCCTTGACCCCCTCTGTCTGAAGGATAGACGCCTTGTGTGACCTCCTGTGTTGAGTATTTAGTGGCGTACCCGTGTCTTCGGGTTGTCCGAGGCGAGAATACGTTGGCTCAACTGCTAGATATTCCATGTCGGCCAGAATCCGATCCAGCATGGCTTTGCGTTGGGTCTCGCCCATTAGATCGTTTAGAGTCCGGCTGGCACGGCTGTCAGGGAGAGTGCCATCTTGTTGAGTTTGACTAGTAAGCGTAGTGTTTGGTTCCTCGCGTCCCACTTGTTGCGTTTCAAACATGTGAAACAATCGCGAGGGAGACCCTGGGGGTGCTTTTGACTGTGTGCGCTCGGAGTGTTTCGAAGACGAATTGTTGTTGCCCAGAATTTGTGGCAGTGGCTGTCGAGTGGGAGAAGCGAACTGAGGCGGCTTTGGGTTCTTGTGCTGCAGGAATCGCCATTGAACTTCGAGACAGTTAGTGCTCGGTGGAGAGAGATCTCGACTTCTGCGTGTCAGAGGACTGTCCTGGCGTCGCGAGGACAACGCGTCTCGGCTCATTGATGAGCAATGTCTTTTTTCCAGTCTAACAATATTTTGTACCCTATTATTAGAGCTTTCAATTTTTAGTTAGCCTGATCAATGCCATGTTGCAATAATAAAGTGCACACTTTCTATCAACTCGGATACCAATGGAGCTGAGGAGTCGACTTTGACTCGTTTAGCGATCTAGTCATCCAATGCGCTATCCAGCCAGCACTTCATCGTTTCAACTCGGACAACTCCATCGCTGAATATGAAGTGCAGCTGCACTCGATCTAATCACACAGAGTCTCGTGGCCACGGAACCAGGTCGACGCTAGAAGCAACATAACAAATCCAGCCGGTATTAAAAAGCTGGCGTCCCTCCTCGTTTTGCTTAAGCTGTATAGGGTGCTTCCTCTACATCACCAATTCATTCGCGTCCGATGTATTGGTACGACTGCGGAATGCTAGCCAATTGAAGTTAAGCGAACTTGGTGCAGGGTGGTGCACCGCCGTGTGCGTTTGCAAACGGGTCCCTGTTACTTGCAGTCGCTGTGCCTTGAGCAGCGGCAACAGACGCGAAGAGAGAGCTTCGGTGGTGCGAGCTTAGTGCGACCAGTAGTGCGGCCCTGTCAGCTGCCTCTTTTCGCGTTCGGCCCCTTTTTAAAAAAAATATCTCGAGAAAAAGTTGAACTGTACTTCGATACCAACAACACTAAAATTAAATATGAAAAGTTGCGTTATCTTTGATTTGTTTAAGAATGCCATCTTGCTGACCTTAAATTTTCATGTTTATTCTGAAAATTCATTTAGGAATTTTTGTTTACTTTTTAAAGAGAGTGATTCATTTGCCCGAATGAAAATCTGCCAAATCTGAGTCGAGTCGACCCTAAACCTCCTCAGATAAATACCCCTTTCCGGACAAAGTATACCGTATAGTAAAGGGGGGCGACCACACATTTTTCCCGCCTCGGGGTCTGAATACTGCTGGACGATCGCCACGAATCTGCGCGTGCTGCCGAGCGTGGGTCAGCCACAGGGCAAGAATCGATCGGCGCAAACGTGTAGATGGAGCTAAGGGCGCGGACGTCTCAAAAACGTCGTGGATCAGGGTCACGAAGCGATGATGACGCATCCAACGTCTCGGTCGAGTCCAGCGAAGAGGAATTGGTCGACGAATCGCTCCCGATGGAATCTGGCGACAACAGCAGCCGCTCTAGCGACTGGACCAACACCGACGACTCTGAGTCTATCAATGTAACGCTGGCTGTGCCCGACAAGCATTTAGACCGGTATTTTGCCGCATCTTACCAGGTAAAGTGGATTTACACTGCAATAGGCTTCTTTGCTGATCCCATTGTGTGCTATGAAGGTCTTCCGTGTTCGTACAAACACGACCGTTGAGCGTCGTAACACAGACATCCGAAACAAGAACTCTAAAGCACCTGAAATCCCGTCCGAATGGAAATACTACGCGAAGACGTTAGTCTGTACTTGCTTCGGCAAGTACAAGTCGAAGGGAAACAGCAAGCGCCCACGTCAAGAGACCCGGTTATCGGACTGCAAAGCCCAGGTAAGATACGGCTTCAAGTTTTACTTCTGCTCGGGTTCGTTCGGGTTTGTTCGGGCATTGCGGGTACTATTGTCTCAATTATCGGTACTAACGTTAATAAATCTGGCATAGATCAACGCCTGCGTTCGACTAGTTGACAAAGCCAAGCACGCGTTTGCAGTTTGTATCACAAAGTGTAACCCCGTACACAATCATGTCGTCAACCGCCAAACCTTCTATCGCTTTTCCTCGATCCACAAGGTGCTAGATGATGGCGTCATTGAGTCGGTGGATATGCTCCGCAAGGCGGGTGCAAAACACAAGAATATTATTAAGTTCATCATCGAGAACACGGACGCCAACCCGTCTATTCAGGACGTGCGTAACATGGTTCGAAGCCTCAAGCAGAGCGAAAACGTGCGTGGTTCGCGTAACAGGTCCACATGGTTGAAAACATGGATGCAAGAATTCTGTGAAGCACCAGGAAATATTGGACGTATATTTGTCGAGACCATGCAGACCAAGGTATAGTATTCGTTCAATTTGACTATCGATACCTTAGCTAACGTGCAGTGTTGAATGTAATTAGCGAGTTGCGACCTGCATTACATTGCAAACCCAGCACATGAGGCTGATGTTCGAGCAATTCCCGGAGGTTCTTTTGATCGATGCAACCCACGGCACCAATGCTTCTAAGTACAAGGTATTTTCGCTCATGGCGCACGATGTTTTCGGCCACGGACAGTTTGTTCAGCACGCCCTTCTGCAGAATGAACGTCGTCACACTCTCGTCACTGCAATCGAGGAGTTTAAGCAGAACAATCCGGCATGGACTCGAGTCCAAAGCATACTTATCGACAAAGACTTTACGGAGTTGTCGATACTCAGGGCAGCGTTTCCGGATGCCTCTATACTGCTCTGTCAGTTTCACGTGTTGAAGTATCTGAGAGAGGCTGTGGCATCTTCGGACTATGGTTTCACCTCATGGCAAAAGGACCAGCTACGCAGCACATTCAATTTGCTCGTGTATGCTCCTACTGAGGCAGCCTATTTGAAGCATCGTCGCTACCTCCGCCACCTTGCGACATTTGGCGTTGCTTCGGGCAGTTCGAGCTTACTCGGGCAGGCTGTGGCTGATTCGGGCTCAGTTGGGCACTTGATGTTGGATTCGAGCTCAGTCGGCACTCAGCGGGTGATTCGGGTCCAATTGGGTTTCGCGTTGGTGATGCGGACTTAGTTCAGACTCAAGCCGGCTCGGATGCTCACAATGAAGCCGAAGAGGAATGCGACCCCAATCTGCATGCGTTTGAAGCCTACTTTACGAAGAATTGGGATAGCTGCAGAGAGCTATGGTGTGCATACAAGCGTCAAAACACGGTTACAAGCAGTACACGTTTGCCGTCGCCCAAGCTTCGTATCATTATAATGAGGTATTTCCCGGAGTATACGCTATCCATAGCGAATCAGGTCGGAAGATGCCCTCGACGAGCCTCGAGTCAGTTACACGGTTCACAAGAATAGTTGGACGTGCTCATGCCTCTTCATGGCGACGCGCTTACTTCCTTGCCGGCATGTGTTCTTCATACGGAAAGACGTGAAGATGGAATCTGTAATCCCGACTCAATTGCCAAACGAGCGGTGGTTACTAACAACGGTCCGATCCGCTGTCAACCTGGCTGAACTTCCTCGTGCCAAGTTTGCCATGGTATCTACCCCTGAAGACGCGAGCTCCACATGGGACTCTAACCGAAAATATCGGGAGGCAAACTTGATAGCTAGCTCTATCAGTGACACAATGGCCGGATTCGGGATGAAGGACTACCATCTTGCAATGAAGTTTCTCCAATCGGTGTCTCGTATCATAAAGCACAAGGAGTTTGAGAGGCTTCTTCAAACCGAAACGGAACGACCTACCATCCTGGTTTCAAAGACCACAGGTGCGGGTGACGATGTGGATGATTGTGGCGACTGTGAGTTTGGTCAAGCTGATATTGAGCATACCGAAGAGAGCTTGCTTGCCGTGGGCGATCATTGCAGTAAGACTAGGACCTCCTGTGTCACAGAGGAGGCCAACACTCACGATCTAGCCGACATATGCCCAACTGTGCCCCAACCAAGACCAACTTTGCCCGAATCAAGACCAACCGTGCCCGAAGCAGGACCGATTGTGCCCGATTTAAGGTTGATCATCCCCGAGCAAGCTGCGAGTGTATCGAAACCGACTGCCCCGAAAACAAGTGCATGTATCCAAGAACCAAGTGAGCCGAAGCCACCTACAACCGCGGTTAATATGAGACCAACTGTGCCTGAACCGAGACCGATTGTGCCCGAACATAGCATTTCTGCACTATCAAAACCAGTCAATGAAACACCATCAGTAGCTCAAGCCAGTGAAGGAGATCAACAGGCGACTACATCCAGATTATCTACAGTTGATATTAAACAGAGATGTGGAGTTCGAAATTGCGAGTCCAGTGCGTCAACGAGGGAGACCTAAAGTCACGCCAAAAGCAAAGAAAGCAAACCGAAACAGGCTGATTCGGAGTGTAGAGGCAGATTCAACGCTGTTTGACTTGCAAATAAGCTTGCGGTCCGTTCACGAAAGCCTTTCCACGAACGCTACCTATTCATCCTCCGCTGAACTTGCTCGACGACTACAAGTGTATACATTTGGGACTAAGCCTAAACCCCCAGTGGCCCGACAGATGAGCAAACTCCCTGCAGGCAAGACGCTGACAGACTCAAGTTTGCTGACTCGAGTGCTTTCCAAAGACATACTCAGAAAGTGTGACGCGAAGGTTTCCGCGCTTCAACGCAAAACGTCTGGATTATCGGAGAGAGACGTATCGGTCGAGATTATTAGTCTGGGTGTGTTCTCAACAACGACATTACGAATGATGAAAGGTTGGCATCACGCAATTACAATCTTCGACTCTATTGACAAAACGCTGAGCTGGATCAGCCGAATCGACTTCACCCAGCCGCTTAGCCCGGACTACACTATTGAAGCAGACCATGAGATACCAAGCAAGCTTAAGCAGCTACAGATTCGCTCTGACTCGGTACGTCATCTTGTCACTGTACTACCTCGAAATAAGGCTAGTAAGACTAACATTGGAGCACAGATACATCTACTAGACCTTGCTGCCAGAGGGTCACTCGGGGACGAGTGCATGTATGCGGTGATGAACGTGATGTTTGCGTCCACACCAGGGGTGGTCACCATTGATTCGAGCCACGTCGGTGTAGTTGTCAACGGGAAAAACACTACAGACATGGAGGGCCTTGCGTCTCTTTTCGCCGGGGTTTCGGACGAAAAGGTGCTCGTTCCCATCAATTGTAATGGAAATCATTGGTGCGCTATCATGATCGACCTATCGACCGAAAGCATATACACTTACGACCCGATGTCATCATCCTATGCGGCCAGCGTCCGAGCTATCGCGCACAAATTGGTGGGGGTCCTACCGATACCGAAGGATAG